TGGACAGGATTCTCGTTTGTGAAATAGGCCAGAGCAAAACATGCAGGACAAAAGCTTGGGTTCAGCAAGATGTTTTTGAAAGAAGTCTGTTTTGCTCACCAAGGCTGCATTTATCTGATCAAAATACAGTTAAATCAGTAATATTGTGAAGTATTATTAAAATTTAAAATAACTGTTTCCTATTTTAATATATATATTTTTTAATGTAATTTATCCCTGTGATGCAAAGCTGTTTTCAGCATCATTACTCCAGTCTTCTGTGTCACATGATCCTTCAGAAATCATTCTAATATGCTGATTTGCTGTTCAGGAAACATTTATTATTATCAGTGTTGAAAACAGTTGTGCTGCTTCATATTTTTGTAGAAACCCTGATACATTTTATTTCAGGGTATTTGATGAATAAACACTGTTCTTTTTAACTTTCTATTTGAAATAGGAATCATTTGTGACATTATAAATATCTTTACTGTCACTTTGATCTATTTAATGCATAATAATTTCTTTTAAATCTTACTGACCCCAAACTTTGGAATGGAAGTGCATGACATTTATTCCTGTTAAAATATATTCATATATTACTGACTGAACAGATAGGGATAGATAATTATTTTAGTAATTTTGAGGTACACCAATATAATTCATATGTAATGCTAAATGCTACATAAAAACAATACTATTTAACATATCATGTTTGTTAAAGTAAAGTACTATTTACTGCAAAAAAAAAAAACTCCAAATGTTCATCTTTCACAATACTAAATACTTCACCAGTACATTGTTTTAAGTACACATAACATGGCTGATTTATTTTGAATTGGATATTATGAAATTAATGACTTCAGTCATTCAAATGAATGAGTAGGCCAAAAACCACTCTGACTGATTATTAAGTAGTGGATTCAAAGAAAATATTATGACTTTGTGGCTGATTTTCTGACCGATTCATTAAAAAGAACCCATGATTCATTCGCAAGTCTGACTACACTGGTTGCATTTTACGCATGTGTATTTGCTGCCTCAGTGAAGGCATGAATGTTGCATTTAAATGAATGAATCCGAACTTATTTAAC